GAGTTCTTCCTAGACTCCTTCTTACATCTTCATTACTGATCATACAGTATAGTCTGGAGACTATGCATTACACATGTAACACAAGCTTAATAAACCTGGAGCCAGTAGAAAGGATGACAACCGAAGTCTGGCTGCTTCAATTTCAGTGGATCATCAAACTGGCTTTCCTTCTACTTGTTTTTCAAGAAATGAACAGAATACAAATATCTTTGATATATCCACTCTTCTTTCAAGTTAGACTGGATTGCTAAAAGCTCAAAAGTTTTAAGTGGGAGACAGAGACAAGATACTGTGGCAGCTTAATTTCCTCAGAAAATCAGATTAAAACTTCTCAGATAATGGACCAGATTATTTGCTCAATCCGAAGTCACTTAAGATATGCTCCCACAAATCTGGGACAAAGACTTATTTCAAAATGATACAAGATAAAGGACTCAATGGAGGTTTCAGCCTGTACCATTGTGCAATGACTTCCAAGAAGCTGTTGTAGAAGTAAGCCTAAATTTTGGCAGGAGGATACCAAATACCTCTTATGTTTGGCTGTATCTTTATATCTGCAGCAGGAAGAAGCGGTATTGTTGGAACTGCTATGGTGACTGCATATCAGGTGATAATCTCTTGATGCTAAAGGTGTTTATTATTAAATTCAGACTAATGAAAGTGGTGCTAGACACATTCTGTTCTAGTAGTTCTGACACAGAAAGCTATCTGGCCCAAGAAATAAGTATAGTCAACGATACGATAAAACCATTTGTTTAAAAAGAAGAGAATGTTGAAATTGAATCATATTAAACTGTAATTCCATTCTAAATGAGTGTAGATTCTTAACGAGAGGGTAGGCATTTCCAGACAGAAGATACTGTTAGCCTCTTCAACACCATAAAAATGTCTTAAATAACTAAGAATTTCTCAAGGAGAAAACACTGCAGCTTGAACGTTTTACAAGGATTGGAATCTTAACCTCCAGCCTTGTGTCTCCATAGTAATATCAAGAAATGAACATTGAAATTCAAGTTTATTTTTACTCTACACACCTCAGCTTTTGTCACAAACCACCTAAAAAATGAGTTGTGCATATTTCACCATCTTGCCTCTGTAGTCAGATGGATATATCTAAAATGCTCACATTAGAATACCCCATTCTCTTTTGTATTATGGGAATTGTACACCCAGATAGTCCATGTTGACTTAGGTCCAGTTTTCAAGAAAGAAGAATTTCAGCAGTTTCTATTGATGCACATGGGCAGCTCCACATATCTGAAAGTCACATCTGTCACTGAAGTGCTTATGTGTTTTAGAAACCTACGTCAAGATGTTCAGATGTGAGATTTTTTGAATAAATGAGCATTATGAATCTTTCCTTCTGTAAGAATTCAAAGCTTTTAAAAAAAGCAGTCCTGATGCATCTGGAATCTACCAACCTTGTCCACAAAGAAAGAGGAAAGAAACTTTATGTAAGTTTTAGAAGTAGGAATATATTTCTTTAATTTCCTTTGACTTACATGTTGAAATGGTACAGAGCAGCAGGACCCAAGTCCCATAGCAATGATAATAAAAGATTGCTTCACAGATCCTTCAGACCCTCCACCTCTATCTTCAGTAGCAATTGGGAAATGGAAAAATAGAGGGCTGCATGTTTAGCACAGTGATGAACGGATTCTGAGGCAGCTGCTTGCATTCTTTCAAACTTCATTTTCATTAGTAGTGGCCAGTGTTCTGGAACTGTATGCAGCTGGCAGGAATCCATATTTATAATAAACATGGTTTATTCAGATAGTATTTGTGTGAGGTTTGCCCCCAACCCAGATGCTTTCCTTTTTCAGGAGTTATTCTTTCTGACAGGTAGGGTTATATATATGCTACGCTTGTAAATCATATCAAAGATTCTTTTCAGTTCTGGAAAGAATACAGGAAGCTGTCTTTCCTTGATACCTTTTCTCTTGGAGGCATGTTTTCTCCTAAAGCAGTTACACCACATCCCTAAAAGCTCAGTTGTTTCTAGTTTAGCAAACACAGAAATGTACACCTGAAGACTTTATTGTTTCTGATACAAATAATAACTTTCATTACACATCTTTGTTTTGTAATTGGTCACTGTGTTTAGGTGTTTTCCCCAGGTATTTGTTGTCACAGGACATGAGTTACTCTTGACTGAAATTGTTGACAGTTCCTAAAGCAAATCTGTGACAGAGGGATTTCCTGAGCCCCACTCACAAAATCATTCTTGTAATTTTGACCTTGCCTTGGAGTTTCAGAACTACAGTGCTATGTGAAGAAATTATAGCAATGGGTATGACAGATGCTGCAAAAAATTATGGGTCTGTGTTGTGTTAATATGCCTAAAACAGAAACGAAGCATTTGATTAAAGGTCCCTGTGACAGAGTGCTGCTGCCTGAGAAGATCACCACCCCTATCCAGTTTTCTGCCACCCCTTCTGCATGAGGCTATGACACCCATAGCACAGGGTGGACAATGCGTGATGTAATGATATTCACAGCCTAACATTGTCACAAAACCCACCATCAACACATTTTACCACGGGCTGCTTGGCTACAAACTAAGACAGCTGAGAAGCAGACCTAATAGGCTTCTACTTTTTCCAGTAGATGGGAGATGTATTCTCTGACAGAGATGTAGATGGACTGTTGAGAGCAGTAAGTCTTCAGGTGCTTTAGATAAACCTGAAAAGTACTGTGAGTCGAAGGTCTAATACTGCCTCAGTAGCTTAATAAAAGTTATCTAGCCACTGCTTGGCTGTAGCTGTCTTGCAGACTGTAACAATGTTATAGTCTTTAGAGCAAACAAAATCATTCAGCTTTCCTAGCCTGAGTTGCTGAATTTAGTTTCATTCTGTATCTCCAGTCAGCATAAGCCTTGTTCTCATAACCCCATCTAGACAAATTCCATGCAGCCAGGAGCAGAACTGATACTGCCCAAGACCTAGACAGAAGATTCACCTTCAAGGCTAGTCTCTTTTCCTGTAGAAAATGCTTTCTATTGTACAGCAAAGACATCTGAATTTGTAGTTTCACAGCAATAGAAATGCTAATAGCCCTTTGGTTTCACTTACAAAAACTGATGGACCTTTCTCCAGTAGGTAGCTTTTGAGCAGTTGCCTGTGATGTACTCTCTTGTGTCTGGACACCTTCTTAGGGAATGAAGAGTTCAGTGACTGTTATATTTACATATTTTGCTTTTAAAATGATGCAGAGGGCAAGATTTAGGAGAAAAGACCTTACAGAGTTCGTATTAAATTAAAACAAAATTCTGAACATCTGCAGTTTAAATCTTTGTAATCCAGACAAATACAGAAAGACTACAGGGCAAGGTAACTGTAAAATTTTATAGTGTGTGCACCAATGGAAAAAAGCGTTAGGATATAACCTCAAGTATGTAATTGAAAACATCAGGATTAAATATGGAAGGGCTAAATATTACAAGCAACACCTTGACAGAATGAGCTGTCAAGATGTTGCTTGCAATGAACAAGCAATGAAATAGTTGCTTAAGAAAAATTACTGCAGATGGACATTTTAAAACCAGGCAGGACAGAAATACAAATACCAACTGGGAATAATTGTATTCTGTGTGGGAGGTGAACTGGGTGAGGTGATAAAGTAAAAAATGTCAGAAATAGAAAAGACATACAAGTAAAGCATTTCTGGATCTTTGGGGATGAAAGGTGTTACAGGATATAAACCACTAGTATTCATTTTTCACAGACGACCAAAGAAACCATCAAAAGATGACACATTTAAATCTTCAAATGAACAAGGGAAAAATGTGTGGGTTTTCTTTTTTTTTTTAATACTGAAGTAAACTGAACTAGGCTAATTGATGCTATTCAGAGAAAGTACAAGGGATTAATGTCTCGCAGTATCAAGCTATAGAGGATAGAGTGAACTTTATTAAAGTATCTAGGAGAGGCGCACTGGGTCCCAGTGGTCCCCACTGGGAAACTACTAAATCTGAAAATAAAAGAAAGCGCAAGAGAAGTTGATGTACTTTAAAAAGGATTGACCTTTTTAACAGATGAAGTTGTTGACCCATAATTTGCAGGTGACTTACTGCATAATGTGAAGCCTTAGCATCTTGCTCATTCTTTCTCAGTTTTCAGCGTTTTGCTTCGTGTTAAGGATGAAAGCTGTAGATGTGCTTATGGACCAGACCATGGTCTGTGTCTCATGTTTGTGAAACGTTCTGTCTTCTGTCTTAGATGCTGCAGGTCTCAAATCTGAGTCAAGACGGTGTGATCATTCTGGCTCTATTGAAATTTTGCTGTTGGAGATGCAATATTCAGGGAAAAATGAAAGGCAGTGGGCCAGGGGGTGTTGATAACACATAACTCCTGCATCTCCCAACAACAGAACACTAAATTAAGGTATCACATATCCCACACAGCTCCCTACAGTGCTTTCTGGATGTGCTGAGGGACTTTCAGATAGTCTCAGGGACTTCAGGTATTGTGAGCATTCTCAGGCTTACCTCGTCAATACACTCAGATATATTATCTGACAGTTAAGAATAGATTGTGAATCCTGTCCTTGTTGGCAACACTGTGTTCAAAATCCTTTGATTATGAGCTCCTCTTTGCAGGGGCACTATTTATTTATTACATCAGAAAGCTGTGGCAGTTTGACAGAAAAAGACACTAAAAGAGAAAACCTAGCTCTTAATTGCCTTGCATCACTTTGGAGTTATCCACTTCAGCCAACACCATGAATTTGCCCTTACTTCACACTGATGTAGGTATCTGCAGAGGAACATCAAGGAAAAAGTCATTAAGGAATTTTTCTAAGATAGAGTAAGTAAGTTAAAGAGCCAGGAACAGAAGGCAACCTAAATTTCACTTATGAAACCCCAGAAGTCTTCAGCCTTACTACCTCCTAGCTTACAATAGTAATACTACCTCCTAGTTACAATAATATCACTACGCTAGACATAGAAAGAAATGTTTTCTTTTAATGATGCCTCTTAACAATATTGCATGTTTTCCTAGGTTTGCCCCATCCCATCCCAGCCTCCTCAGCCTACTGTTGTTCCAAAGCCAGTTCAATCAGTCATACATGTCCCATTGCAACCAAGCTGCCCAGGCAGAGGCAAGATGGCAAAGCTCATCAATCCAGAAGAGATGACATCCAGGGATTATTACTTTGATTCCTATGCTCACTTTGGAATTCATGAGGTAATATTTATTTTTATTTCAGCAATTATTTAAAAACAATAAGTATGATGATGCTTATGGGTTTTTTTGACCTATTAGTTATTTATCCCCCTCCCACTTGTTCATGATTATATTCCTCCACCTTTCCTCAGAAGACTGTATAATCTGGTTAAGTGCCAAAGATATCACCCACTCCTCTAGAGACCTGTACTCAAATCCTCTGTCCCACTTAGATCCTTATGTATGAGTTCTCCACAGAGCTCACACAGTGGTGATTTTCATGAGTGCATCGGTTTTGTGCCTTTATGAGGGCTGCAAACAACCCAACCACACATGGAAACTACCTTATTGGTGTCAGGTCTTTTGTACTCTTACATGTTCGAGCACAGATGGCAGCAGAACAGATACTTAACTGACATGAGAAGCCAAGTAATTTCTTGACTCCTGCTATGTTACTTGAATGCATGGGCTGCATTAATGTGAACATATAGTCCAATAGCCTCCAGCAAATACAATCCTGAAAGGAATTAAAAATACACAGTGGACCATATTCACCATTAAAAAATTGAGTGTAGAACAATTCTAAAGGAAACACTAATATCTTACATTTACATGACCCAAGAGGATGGAATCTTAAAGAGTAGGATGCTAAAAGCCCAGCAATGTGAAATGAGTGGCACTTTTCACAGAAAACTACATAACAAATGGTATCTACTTCCATTAATCTGGTAATTGCTTGTGGGGTATATACAGAAACAGAAGATTTCTGTCTGCCAATTACATCTTGCCAGTGTAGAATTCACAAATTCAATCCAAGAATGGAAGAAGGTAGAGGAACAATTGAGTGAGAAGGAGACCTAAGAGAAATATTGAAAACACATCAGAGAAGTCAAGTCAGCTTGAGCTCCTGATGGAAGGATACAGCTCTGTAGGTCTCAGGGCCTCTTGGTGAGACTGGGAAGTGGGAGCTTGCCTCCTTGCCTGCACTGGTAGAGGATCTGTGTCAACAAGTAAAGGAACTGCAAGAGGAGTGTGTCAGACACTGCAGCATCAGGGACTTGAGGAAGAGACTGACTGGATTTTCTTCAAGATCCTAAAGGTACAAGAGCCTAAATCCCCAACTGTACTGAAAGGAGGGGAGTTGGAGTCTCTACTTACTAGGTTTGGACATGGAGACTCCTCTGATGGTGAAGGCCAGAAACTTGTGACTTCTGGCAACAGGAGGAAGGCTCCTGATCCACCTGCAGATCTCCAGCTACAGAAGAGGTTCAGTGCCTTTGCAGAGCAGGGTCCGGAAGTTCTGTCCAACGAAGCATCAGAACCAGTTGGCCATGAGCCACACCGAAGCACTGGGAGGAAGCAACAAGTGGTAGTAGTGGAAGGCTCTCTCCTGCAGGGGACAGAGGCCCCCATCTGAAAGCTATCAGTTGATCATCTCCAGATCCATGCTGAACACTCCTAATCACCTTCTTGTCCTCAATATGTTTGGAATGAGTTTCCATGAGGGTGTGCTCCATCACCATTCCAGTGTTGTTGGACTGTTCCTCTGCGTCTTTCTTTGCCTTATACCAAACCATGCTTTATGATGATAAAAATAGCCTTTTATTCATCTACAGTTATTGAGTGCATATAGTCTTCTGCCAAGACAGGTAAGTGAGCAAGTCACTAGTGCTTCAAATTGCTGGCCAGTGAACCAATTCTTTTCATCCTGAAACTCAAAAACCTCATTTGCCTACTTGCTTAAACTATGAAATGATGGGAGTAGTGTACGCAAAAGTTCAGCCTTCTAGACCCAACGGAAACATTTTGAGAAAATTAAAGTATGTGTTGAATGGTCTACCCTTGTCTTAAAAATGGCATTCGGATCTTAATCTCACTGCTCTTTATTGATGTAGTTTGACTGATACATGCACACTTGAGAGCAAGGTGTCAGTGGAATGAAATGCATTTACTGGTGCTATGAATGAAACAAAAATCAGCACCTAACCATAAAAACTCAAAATAGTGACATCATGGTCTAGGTTATACATTAATATCTTCTGGAAATTGGTTATATAAATGAGTGGACGGAAGAGCAGTAAGGGAGTACCATACATCACAGTATCTCTAAGCTCCACTATGGACTTCCTGCATCACTTTGGGCTAGGCTATCAAGACTTATAATGGTTTGTGGAAAGTTTTCTTTTGTGTTCAAAGAAGAACCTGAGAAAGTCCCTCCTCTGACGCTCTAGGCTGTGTAAAATTTAGGAGAAAAGGAAAGCTTTGGTTTCTGTATGGCTTCTGTCTATGCCCAAAGCAGTGCTGTGGTTAGATTACACACATTCTGGTTGTCAGTTGTAACAGTGAAGTGATACTTAGAGGATTAGGATTGTACGAAGGACATCATGCTGCTTCTTAGTTCTTCAGGTTGCTTCTTTAAGCATAATAATGCTTAAACTGTAGTAAGGGAATGCATTCAGCAGCACTGTTGAATGTATGTAAGCACTTCAAATAATAATAATGCAAAGCTTTTTTTTTCTTCATCACAGGAAATGTTAAAGGACGAAGTGCGCACATTAACCTATAGAAACTCAATGTATCACAATAAGCATGTTTTTAAAGATAAGATTGTCCTTGATGTTGGAAGTGGCACGGGTATCCTCTCCATGTTTGCTGCAAAGGCAGGAGCCAAGAAGGTATATGGGGTAAGAAGACTTTCTCTCATATTTTGAGGATTTTTGTGGATTTTGCCTGAGAATTTTGGCTTGATGATTTACCTTTTCTGACTTGTCTTGGTCTGAAATTCTTCTCTTCAAGCTCTTGTATGTCTTGATTCACAGTGACTTCAGTGGAGTTCTGTTGCTTTCTATGACTTGCAGTAGTGTGCCTTTTCCAAATCAAGATATAATATATTCTCATGTGTGGAATCTTTGGTGATCTGGTACATATCCACATTTCTTCTTGGCTGCAAGAGAATGTTAAAGAGACTCACTCCTACTCAGAGGGGTCAAAGGAACCATCTCGCTTTTTTAAAATTCTGAAGTATTTCAGGATTGCAAATTTGTAGTCTTGGAAACAAATTGCTTTAATAGAGTTTTCCCTGTACATTACAACTCAAAGAATCATGCAAGAAAGCATGTGCGTGTTTTCTGTGCCAACAATAACACTTCTCAGAAGCAGAAGGGAATGATTACCTTAAATACATTGAACTTTAGGAGCATGAATGTGCAGTTTTCTGCAGAGAAGTCATTAGAGAGAGCATAGATTTGCTTCCTAAGTATATTCAGAGTTATTTGTACTGACTCTAAAATGACAAATAGAATTTATTTTTGCTTTGGACTTCTGTTTGCCCTGCAAACACAACACAACATAGGAAAGGGGAACTAGATTCTATTTCTCTGTGTACTTCTTTGACAAAATTGTTTACTAAAATAAGTTGGCTACATCTGTGCATTTGAAGACACTGATGTCACTGAGTATCTAAACTGTGCATCTTTATTACTGGTAATGTTGCATGAAACGCAAGGACTCCTGTTCATTTCTCAGGCTTATATTTTCAAAATCCAATGTCAATTCTGAATGCCTCATCTGAGCATCAGACTAGAGCATGGAAGTATAGATAGCTGAAATCAGAAGGTGCTGGCAAAAGTTTTGGAGTTTGAGACTTAATACACAGAGTTGGCAGCTAGAACGTATTTCTTGTAAACACCATTTATTATCTCAGAGCTCCAGGGGGAATAAACATGTAGCCTTCTCTGATGCAGGAATGCAGGTCTCATGCAAGGATGTTGCAATGCTGTAGAAGTATATACAAAATGATGATGCTGTGCTCCCACCTTCCTATCTCCCAGATCCCTGGCCATATGGTCTTCCTCCCTCCCTTGTGCTGGCACTGGTGCTTATCTGATTCTACAGTGAGCCAGCTCACTGGCAGAAAATTCACCCGGTAAAGGAAAATACTTTTCCACAGGTTTGTTGTTGTGGGGTATTTTTCTTTGGACTTCTTTACGGTTGAGGCTCTACCTCAGGCATTTAAAAAGCTCAGTGGCAACCAGTGTCAGCTCACCCATGGACTCCTCAGCACTGAAGCTGGGGGGTGTGCTATCCGGGAAACTTAGCTCTCAAAGGAACTCACTTAGGTGTGAAACTCCTCTGCTACACCTTAAGTGTTTCAACCTTCTTGTCACATGAGCTACCTCACCTTGAACCCTGCCACACAGCAAGCTGCAGAGTTGTATTTGTGTTGGAAAAGCAGATATTTCAGAGATCTGGCAGTGGCATTCTTACAATCAAATTCAGACTTTATGCTTCTATTGGCAGGAGTGCCAATGGAAACTGAGTGTTCCTTTTAAAAAGCAAACTTTTGCCATGAGTTATTAGCTAGAGCTGAGATGTTCCAGTTTCTTCTCTACACTTAGATGTGATTTTTCAAATAGCATAATGTAGGAACTGTTGATAAATACAGAGTGTTGGTTTTCTGACTACGGTGCCACTGAAATCACTCTCCTCTTTCTCACTCTTCCCTTCTTCAGGTTCAAATCCATCCACTACCCTGTCTAGTTCTTCTTATCCCCTCTTACTGTTGGAACTTATTCCTTGCCACTGCCTCAGCCAACTGCTAGGATCATCTCTGGGTATTCAAGAGGTGTAAATCATAGAATCACTGACTCATAGACAGATTTGGTTTAGAAGACCTCTGGGAATATCTAATCCAACCTCCTGCTCAAAGCAGACAAGTTTAAAGCTATATCAGGTTGCTCAAGGCCTTGTCCAGCCCAGTTTGGAAAATCTCCAAGCATGGAGACTCTGAATCCTCTCTCAGCACCTATTCCAGTGCCACGGTCAGCAGGAATTTACCTTGCTGCAGCTCCCGATTGCTGACTTTTGTCCTGTCACGGTGCACTTCAGAGAAGAGTTTGATTTTGTTTTCTCCACAAGCCCTTTTTAGCTAGTTGAAGATAGCTATTGGATTGGGGGGATCTCTTCTACAAGCTGAACAGAACCAGCCCCCTCAGTTCTTCTTCTTGATGTGCTCTGACACCTAACCATTGTGGGAGGAAAACCATAAACGGTGCAATGATGTTCATCTAGCTGGGGAGCTGTTGTAAGACATGTAGATACAGGATTGGCATGTGGTGGTTGGTGTTTGGGAGGGGTGAGTGAGGGACAGAAAAGTACCTTCAATTCTCCCTTCAAACCTTGGTTCATTTGCTGCATTTAGTCATACAAAATTCAACACAATCACTGCAGTAGAGCTACTGAAATTCTATGGTATTTTCAGACAAACAGGACAGTGTAGGTAAGAAGGAATTAAACAGATACATAAAACGAAGGCGCATGTCACATGTTAGCTGATTTGGATAAAAGGGTGGTGATGAGGACACAACCCAGGGGAAAAGGAAATCTGGGAATGTGGTGACTGTTTCAGAAAAAGACCCCAGTAAAAGAGGAGACATTTGTGGCATTAGATTGAAGACTAAGTACAATGAGATTAATGTATGTGCACAGAGCTAGATACAACTGAAGAAACTCAAGAGCCCCTCAAGGGCCTGTACTGGGACCACTGCTATTTCATATCTTCATAAATGACATAGTGGTGTTGAGTTCACCCTTAGCAAGTCTGTAGATGACACAAAGCTGAGTGGTGCAGTTGATAAGCTTGTGAGAAAGAATGCCATCCAGAGGGACCTTGGCAGGCTTGAGAAGTGGACCAGTGTGAACCACATGAAGTTCGGCAAGGACAAGTGCGAGGTCCTTCACTTGAATCAGGGCAATCCCCAATGTCAGTACAGACTGGATAATGAATTGATTGAGAGCAGCCCTGCAGAGAAAGACCTGGGCATACTGGTGGATTGAAAACTGGATAAGAGCCAGCAGGTCATGCTTACAGGTCAGAAAGCCATTTGTATCCCAAACTGCCTAAGAAGAATTGTGGCCAGCAGACTGAGAAAGGTGGTACTCTCCCTCTACTCCATTCTTTTGAGGTCCCACCTGGAGTACTGCATCCAGTTCTGGGTGTCCCCGGTACAAAAAAGACATGGACAGTTCCTAGCAGATCCAGAGGAGGGCCACAAAAATCATCAGAGGGCTGGAACACCTCTCCTGTGAAGAAGGGTTGAGAAAGTTGGGGTTGTTCAGCCTGGACGTGACAAATCTCTGGGGAGACCTTATTGCAGCCTTTCAGTATAAAAAGGGGGTTTATAAGAAAGGTGGAGGAAGACATTTTACCAAGGCCTATACTGATAGGACATGGGGCAATGGTTTTAAACTGAAAGGGGGTAGATTTAGATTGGATAGAAGGAAGACATTTTTTATGATGAGGGTGATGAAACACTGGCACAGGTTGCCCAGAGAAGTTGTGGCTCATCATTGGAAGGGTTCAAGGCCAGGTTGGACGGGGCTTTGAGCAACCTGGTCTAGTGAAGGGTGTCCCTGCCCATGGCAGGGTTGTTGGAGGAATTGACCTTTGAAGGTCCCTTCCAACCCAAACCCTTCTGTGATTCGGTGATTGTTAACTGAGGTACAGCCATATTTTATTGGAACACATGGTTTTAATAAAAACCAAAGCTTTGTAAAATTATACAGATTTGAACAGATCACTGACTTGAAAGAGAACTGGGGGAAAACCTGACAACGCTGTATTTTTTTCCTAATTCCTCACCTACAGAATTCAGTATTGTATTTTTCTGAAATGAGTTGCTTTTTAAAATAAAATTGTACCACCGTATAGAGTCCCAGTCAAAATAGACATGAACAGCTTTAGCCTCCTAAAGCAAGTTTATTTTCTGAAATACATATTCCTTCCTGGAATATTTGAGTGTTGTTTTTTTATTGTTTTGCTTCTTTGAGAATCAAGCTGATTTTTGGAAACTCATATTCATGAAATAGAACTTTTTATTTCTTTGCATCTTTTTCTTTAGAAAGGTTGGAAAGCCACCTCCAAACATCTACATACCCATGCTCTATTTAAAAATCATCCAAAACAAGCAGAAAGAATGGGCAATGGAATTGAAAATGCCAGACAGATGTGAATACAGACAGGAAAACTGAGTATGTTATAATGGCTGTAAGTATAGACAAGACATATAGTCTATACAGTTTACAGTAAGGGACCAAGAAGCTGGATGGAGAAAAAGGATGGAGTTCTCCCCAAGGGATTTCTTCCTTGGACTCCCTGGACTGGCACTCTGGTGTTCCTTTCTACATGCCAGTTTTGATTTCTATTCAGGCCATTGAGTCAGACATCTTAAGGAGTGGTTTGCATTCACAGGCAAGCTAAGAAGAATTAATGCTCATGTTCCCATGGGGACAGGGATTGATATTATGACTGCTAATATGTCTAGTTGTTTCATGGGCTATATAAAAAGAATAAGGGATCTGTGTGTCCTTCCGTCTGCTGTTCTGCCATCTGTGAGTGCTACCACAGAGGTCAAGCACAGTTTGGCTTTTAGAGGTTAAATGGGATTCACTGGACATATAAAACACCTCACTAGAGATAATTTAATTCTATTTGATATTCCCATTGGGGAATTAGAGAGACAAGGATTATACAAAGTATTATTGGCAGTTTAACGTCAAATTTGGAAGAGGTAAATTAGGAACTGATCTGGTGACTACCAGCAACTTTGGCCCTCATGATTTTAATAGGGCACAAAAAACAGAGAGATTCATGGAATGCAGTATTTCTCTAAAAGATACCAAAGGTCATTGCAAACGTGGGCTTTTATGCTAGAACTCAGATTTTAACAAATTTAAGGGCAAATCTAAAACTAGAAGGTACTTTGTAATTCCTTTCTTAGTAAAAGCACAGCACTGGTCATAGAAAAAGACATGCAGGTCTGGATGTTTCTGTAAATACAATAATTTCAGTAATTTCTTATGTGTAAATATTTTTTGGTAGCATGCATTGCCAAAGATGATAGATTTTTCACAGAGAAAAGCAAATGCTTCTTGACACAGACCAGTATTGGCATAGTTTGAATTTTAACATTATTCACAGAGTTTGCATGTATTTTGTTTAAGAATACGTGAGGAAATGCAGCACCATGTTAATTCATTCCCTTCAATGGATTTGAGGAGGGGAGGAGGCAATATTCTGAAGTAGCAGGAATAAATTAAATAATATGATTAATAAATTATGTAATTTTGTAGTTAGGATCACCTTTTTCCACATTTCAACAGTTTTAAGAACAATATTTTCTGTATGACCCAGTTTAACTCAAACACAGACCACGGTTTAATTATTAAGGTATCACTGATCATGATCCTGCCCACACAGGTTTGATTTACACTTTATCAGTGGTTACATGTTCTGTAGAGTCTTTGTTGCATTCAGTAGATTTTGGTATTATTCATATAGCTGAGATCCTTAACACATAATTACTCTTCCTCTTGGTTTTCTTTTTTCCTTTTTTTTCCTAGATTGAATGCTCAAGTATATCTGACTACTCAGAAAAAATTATCAAGGCCAACCACTTGGACAACAGTAAGGCATATATAAAAATGTTTTCTTCAGGAGAAAGAGAAGAGAACTGTTTTGCTTTTTCTGATTAATTTATATTGTATGGTTTATATGTAAATGGTAGTTTTGAATAATTTACTTATCTAAATACAAAACTAAACACCTCATTCTAGGCACTACAACAGTTCCTCATGGGAGAAGTTACCGCTACATTTACTTCTAGGCTCACAGACAACAGAAGAAAATAGAACTCATTGGCAGGCGGTTCGATTTAGTAAAGCAGACAGAAGGCCCCATATTAGAGCAGAACTTTTCAAATTAATTCTGCTGTTTGAATTCCACCTTATCTCTTAAATAGAATCAACACACATATTTACATTCAGATTGAAGTAAGGTTCAAAGCAAAAAAACATTCCAGATCAATACACATTTTTCACTAAGAGTTTCTTCTGACTTCCAACTTGAAAAAAAAATACTGGTTTTTGAAAACCATATTGAAACACACACACACTCACACAAGTTAAAAATGTTCAATTCTCAGAATAACAGCATCAGAGAAAACATTTTTTTTTTCCTCGAAAAGAAAGCTGTTGAAATTTCCAGGGATGTGAAAACACTTAAATTTAAAAAAATACTAAAAATACCCCCAACCTACTGAAAACTCTTAACAAAAAATAATCTCCAACAAGCTCTATTTCGTGTCTTCAGTCCTCCTCCAAATCACTGCACAGAAGATATCTTTATAACAACCTAAAAAATCAGGCTTTTTTAAACTGAGGCTGTGAGACAGTTCTTGTTTAAAAGTGCTCTTTGTGAGAGCTTGCCTTTGCTGCAGAGCAGTGCAAGTCATAGCTGGCGAGACCGAATCGTTTGCCCCACATTTTGCTGTGTCTGTGCTGGTGCTCTGCTAGCATGTATGCAGGTATACGGTTCTGTTCTGGTTTAGATCTGCTCTGATGTTTATTGCTGTCTCTGGCAGCTTCTGACTAACATGGAGCTGTTTGGGAGGAGAATTTATGGTACAGTGTGCCTATCGGAGTGCTGTGGCGTGAAAGAAACAGGGACAGGGGATGCAAGAAGCCAGCCAGTGTAAGCAACTTTTGGTTCAGAAAAAGAACGAAGCAAAGGACCAGAAAGTACTCTCCCCCACAGTATGGTTAAGGCACTAAAACAATGAGGTGTTGACCTCAGCTTGGTTATCCTGCACCTTTGGCGCAGAGCCTGTGTATTCCCAGCGTGACCTTTCATCAAGTAGATACACAAATAGCATACTACAAATCAATTCATGTTTGGATTTCCAGCAAACAGGAATTGTGTGTGAAGGGACCGTTTTCAGAATGAGAAGGATCCAGTGTGCTCCAGAGTATTTATCTCTGCTTCTTCCTCCTGTTTCTCCAAGGAGCAATTCCTTGGAAAAAAACTGTGAAGGAAGAAGCAGAGACCCCTCACCTTTGGCAAGAGACTCACCTGGATAGTTTCCACAGTCTGTCCAACTGCAGTTTGGCCTCCAGTATAAACAGATTACACAGCTGAACTAACATTTACATTTACACACTTTACACTGACCCACATTCACTTTTATTTTAATGCAACCAGGTACCAAGCCGAAGGATCTTGTTGCTCATGGAAATTTTTCTTTTTTTCCCCCTAATTGTTTAGAGAAATGCAGAGTCAGCAAAAGGGGCTGAACCAAGAGAAAACCCACTGTTTCCAGAACAGATACAATACAGCTGGGGACAGCACAATCTGTTCCCACATGATGCCTTATGAAGATGTTTCATCAAAGTGAAGGGAGGTGGGAGGAACTTGTGCTGCTGCTGCTGCTTACACTGTGACTGTTCTAGGTATAAACAGAGGGCTTCAAAGTCCGCAGGTGTGTCACCCTGGCAGCTGTCAACAGTGCTAAAATTCACTCCAAAAGAATTGTGGCAGTGAAAGTTCTTGGGAGAAAAGAGAACTAAAGAGAACTCGTGGCTGGAGCTTATAGACATGAAGAGTCTTCAGTGTAACAACAGATGAACTATTGAGCTACTAACTGTGAAAGGAAGGAGTTTAAAGAATGGGAAGGAGAAGAGAACTCTGCTCTTTTCCAATCAGGTTGCTCTTACCAGCTGATACGTTGTGTTACCAGTCTGAATCAGAGTGTTCCCAACTTCTTAGGGGGCCAGTCTGGATTAAAAAAGTTTGCTATGCAAATAAAGTTGCCACATCTGGTTAGAGTAATACTGCATGTATTTTGGAAAGACGAAACCTCGTTTTCCCTGGGCCGAGTTTTAAAAATCACTCAACCCACAGCTGCACACTTAAACAGCTAACCTAGTCCTAGGTAAATGAAAGTACCTTCATCTTCTTTAAACTGAATGTTGACCACGTTCATCAATAAAAATTGCCATAGTTAAAAATTGCCATTTATTCAGAGTAATACAGTAATCTTACCAATTAGTAAGGGAAAGTTAAATATTCCCTACTCACTTTAGTCCTGAATTTCAAGTGCGTAAGTTACCTTGTCAAGGAAGAATCCAGACCCACGAGACTTTACCCACTGCAACAAACAATATAAATAGCAAACACAAGCTGAAAATTATTTATCTAAAGAATTTGGAATACATTTGTAAATAGAAAATATATTGTTTAAATGGAAAAATGATTGGTGAATTGTATAGTCATCCTGAAACAAAATTATTTGTTACAACTGAACTAAATATGGACCAGCATTTAATTTTCCTTTAAGCAAAATATCTGTTCTAGTATCAACAAGTTTTATTAATTGCTTGTTGATTTGCTTTTGCAGTGCATACCCAGTCTCCTGTAAGTAGTACACAGTATTGCCAGTAATTTAATGTGCTGTGTTGTAATAGTGTCTCTGAGGATCTGCTATTCTACTACATCAAACTTCTAGCAACCTTTTTAATTTCCTTTAAACTAATTTGGTGATAAAATAGCTGACAGCAATGGTTTCCAGCCATCATTTTCGATAACTGTGGAAAGTTATTCAAGTCTCAACCAGATAGAAGATTCAGACAGAGAATGCCAGTATGTTATAAAAGATTCAATTATGAAGCAGAAAAGAATTAAGTGATTGATTTTTCATGAAAGAACCATGTTTGTCCAAACTTTGTGTACTGTCAGGCTAGATCTTACTTTCCCAGTTGAACCCATTCCCCAGAATTCATGGAAGAAACAAGTCTTAGTTTCCTCATTGTGAAGCCAGAATAATATGTTTGAAAAGCAGAGTTAGATCCTACTTACATAAATCTCTAATATTTCGGTGATGAGATCATGTATGTGTAACCCTATAGGGATATTTAAAGGATTCTAAGTCAATTCTTTGCATTACTTGGTTAATGATCTCAAAATCTTCCAAATTCCAAAGGGCATGTAAAATGAGATCATGCAGGTAACCAGGTAAGGCCTGTTTTTCTGTTGTTTTTTTTATACATGGGTTTTATTTAGTTTGGGTTTTAGTTTGGGATATTTTTTTTCCCTTTTGTACTGATCCAAAAACTTCTGCAAGTAGTTTTAAAATAGTATAAAATCCATTGAGTTGCATGGAGTGACCCCTTATCTACAGGCATTCAAGAAGAGAATCATATTGAAAAGGTCATCCTGACATTCATCAGTAAGGAACTTAAGTCAGACGTTTTATTATGTGAAACATATTTCTTTGGATTCTTTTTTCAGTAATCACAATATTTAAAGGTAAAGTGGAAGAAGTTGAATTACCTGTGGATAAAGTAGACATCATCATCAGCGAGTGGATGGGTTACTGTCTGTTCTATGAGTCAATGTTAAACACAGTCATCTTCGCACGAGACAAGTGGCTGGTAGGTGCTCTGCATGTCATGCTCCTTGCTGGAGCAAACATCAATTATTTTCTGATTACAAGCCTTCCCTCTCCTACTGTCACCATAACAAGACACAGTTACATGTCCAAGTGCCATTTCTTAGGCTATAATGAAAAGATTAAGAAAGGGAATTTCAGTGAAAGAGCTTTGCTTTTGATTAACTGCTGGTGAAATTCGTATAGACACTATCAATGACATTGCTACAGGCTGCAAGAGTTGCTGAAATTAAAGCTGATGTGACAATCTGAAGGAAAACAATAAAGGCATGCAAGGGGTGCTTGTCTGGTTTTTGTATGTGCAGTTCAAAATGTGATGTCTTTGTCAGGTGAATAGATTACGAGATCCATTTCCCCACAATTCATCAACAGAAACCTGGAGGGCTAATGTTTCCAGACCGAGCTGCTTTGTACGTGGTAGCAATTGAAGACAGACAGTACAAGGACTTCAAAATACACTGTGAGTAAACACCCAGCACCTTTCTATGGTTATTTTCCTAAAATATGTGATTTATAGTGGCCTACTCTAATCTCTTCACTGGCAAAGCTTTGCAAAAGCCAAGTAATCACGCTGATGAGGCCAGAATTCCACTATAAACATCAACACCAAGAAAACTCTAGTCTGGTGATAAAGTCAGGAAACTTGTAGTAATTTAAAATTCTTTAAAAGGAAAGATGCATATATCAATTGACGTAGACCTTGCTTAGAGTATGTTGATACCTCTATTTCTATTTCCAAATGTGGATTTTAGGAGATTTCCTTCTGTTTTTGTTTCGATAAATAGATCATCCCACATAAGTGCCATTAAAATTGGTAGTATTCTTTTGCCTTCCAGGTGCTGTGTTCTGGTTTTAAAATAACAGGAGCAGAAAAATTAATAAGATGCAAATGAATTGTGAATGTTAAGAAATAAGCCTAGAAAAAAAAAATCTCACTAATAAGCTTGTCAAGAAGTAAAAAAAGTAATGATTTTTTAACTTTTTAAAACAATTTATGTGAGAATTTTTAAATTAAAAGTAAGGATCAGAAATTTCCATTTTACTTTGATGTGAAAAAAAAGTTCTAAACTTTTTTGGTTTGCTTCATAGATGCATAAACTGACTTTTCCTTTACATTTATAATTTTGGGATTTTTTTCCCTTGTAGTTTCATTGAATAACTGGTGCTGTTAACGACCTCCACAGGTCACCTAGTCCAGCCTTCTGCTCAAAGCAGGCCGGATTTTACTGTCAAAGGTCACTCAGGGCTCTGCCCTGCAGTCAAGAAATGGGGATTCCATAGCTTCTCTGGGCACTGTTCAGATACTGAAGCACCCCCAGGAGTAAACATGTTTCTGAATATCCAGTCAGAATTTTCCTTGCTGAAATTTGCCTTCATTGTCCCTTGTCACCTGACGGGAATCTGACTTTTTCTTTGTTTCTGTAGCAGCAGATAGCAATTAGATCCCAGATCCCACCATTAGCCTTTGCTGTCCCAGATTTTCTTGGACACTCCTCATGTCTCAGCATGTGGTTCACTTTCATCACCACAAGGTCATACTCCTGGTTCATGTTCAACTTGTTATCCCCCAGGTCACCCAAGTTTGGATTTATTTGGTCATAATAGTTTTGATGAAATTAGTAAGTTCTACATTACTTTACTCTTTTTTTTTTTTTTTTTTTTTTTTTTTTTTTATTTTTCACAGCCGGTCAATTTCACTTAAAGGCATTTTCCATTAGGGGGAAAAAAATTTAGCAAAATACCTAAGCAGTTTTATTAATTAAGGATACATGCAAAAGCTTGAGTAAAATTAGTGGGTTCAGTCAACCTTTAAATGAAAATGCCTGACTCCTCATTCCTTGCCTCTCAGCTTCTCTCAGAAAAGAAAGTTTGGTGTTTCTTTAATCAAATTCAGTGCCAATAAACAACTGCCAATGGGTCAAAGCTGCCATTTTGGGTCAAAAGCAAACCCAAAGGAGTGGGGAAGTGATAAGAAGTCTGTGGAGGTGCCAGAGAGAATTATATCTACTCCTCGAGCACAGCCTAGATTTTTCTTCTCAGTGATGCGATGACCTTGACAGCTAAATTCCTTACAAAATTTACAGATTCAAAAGGACGTATGAGGGATGCATTCTGTAAAGGAATCAAAGCCATTTTGGCCTAAAAAATTCCCTTATGCCTTGTTTCACCTTGCTTTTGAACCCCTACCTTTCCAGGCCTTGAGCCTTTTTCTACCCGTTTTCAACTTGTTCATTTTTGAATCGTTTTAAAAAAATGTTTCAGGTTCTTTTTCTCTTCTAAAATGTTGTTTGCCTTTGAGAAACTTTCTTTTCTCATTTCACTTTTGATTTCCCTTCCCCCCTCACTTTTTATACCTCTGTATCTTCCTCAGTTATTTCCATCTCACTGTTCATCTGCACCACCACCTTGTTTCTCTTTTCAGTTTATAAATCCTGGTGTCTCCTTACATTTCAATTTTTCATCTTCCTTTTTTTGCTCTCAAGGTGGATAGAGTCTTGCCTTCATATGAGATGCAGGGCTGAGCATTTCAACAGGCACTCAAGAACCATCATATTGATTAAGAAATATTGCAATATGGGGCTTCTAAAAAAAATCTGACTGCTGATTTCTCAAACTTTATTAATGTCACAGAGTACTACTACAGTAAATTACTGCAAAATGTAAAACATGTAATTTTATCTTTTAACTCCTGTGACAGGTGTCTGTCAAATACAGACTGTGGCATATCCTTCAAAGGCATCCCACACAGGCTGAAGTACATCAAGTAATGGAGGCCCCAACAACTGTTAATAGAATGTTCCTTCAGGGTTTCCTAGTTAATCTTTTCTGAGTAACCACATAATAACATATGGCTTCTATAAATACAATCTGAAGTTCCCACATGCTCATGATGCCTGAAATGAAAGTTTTGATCACCAGCTCCCCTGAAATATTGAGAAACTCACGGCCCAATAAAGAGATAACACAACAAAGAACTGTTCATGTCCAGCTTTGTTCTGATTTAGAAATATGACGATTTTTTGCTTATACTACATTCTCAGTCATAGTCCTCTGGAAACACCAGTAGCCCAAATGCTGTGCTCTGAAGAAACAAGACATTTTAAACATGCTCACTGTTGCTGTTTGTCAGTTTACCTTGCTTGTGTTCAAACAATTTTTTAAAAATTTCACAGTATTCAGCTTAGACTTTCAGATGGAACATTGAATGAACCTTGTCTCATATGATTCATAAGACTAAGATTTCACTTTTTTGAAGGGTTTTGTTTTCATTTTGTTAAGCAATCTTAAAAGCAAAGCCAGTGTACTTTTAAATCTTTTTTTTTTTCTTGAACAAAATGAAAAGGAAAACAAACCCCTCAGCAAGATAAGAAACATTTATCCGAACAATCAGAAGATCAGCATAGCTTTAAATCTTTTAGAAAGTGGCCATCTTGGTTTTTTGTCATGATGTACATGCAGATTAAAACTTGGGTGCCCCAGATATTGAAACACACCTCTAAGTCCACTCCTGTCAGTAATTCACTTGCTGAAAATAAGACTACTTAAATTAATTAAGAGCATGCAAACTGCTGATTGAATAGCAGTCTATAAAAAAAGGAAATATTAAGCAGAATGGATAGGAAAGGATAGATTAACCTTAGCAGCTATTCCCAAGTCTCAACCTGACATATTATATGATTTTGGGCAACACTCTCAAATGTCTGAAGCCATGAAAATCATCAACAAATCTCATATAACACAATTCTGGAAACACCAGAAAACAAGGGCCACTTGTTCAAAGATTTACATTGAGAGGTTATTTTGCCACAACTGCATTATCTGTAAGATACCAGTGATGACTTAGACAGCTGGGGCAGGGAACAAAGAGAGCTGAAAGTTAAGGGCATGGTAGAAAGTCTTTCAAATGAAAGATGCTTTGAGAAACAAAAAATATTTTTATTATTACTGCTAATCTTTGACACATCCATTTGCATTGACAGGGTGGGAGAATGTGTACGGCTTTGACATGACCTGTATTAGGGATGTTGCCATGAAGGAACCTTTGGTGGACATAGTAGATCCAAAGCAAGTGGTGACCAATGCCTGTTTAATAAAGGTTTGGTAATTCCAAATGTACCTAATTATGAATGTTTACACCTAACTATAGGATTCTTTGGAGACCTGCTACATATGTTTTATCTTTGTATGCTTCTATCTAGCTGCTGAAGCCATCATCATAGAATGCTATTACAGTAAGAAGGAAAATTGTGCAGTTTTAAGTTAGGCAGTACTAGTATGTTGCACATGCCCAATACTGTCACCTGAGCTAAGCGAGAACATTGATACCTCTGTCACTTATGGAATACCCAAAAGCAAGATTCTCCTTGTGACTTTGTACTCATCTGGCTACTGCTACTGCAATTTAATACTCTTACAAATTATACATGTGCAAATACTGGATAAATATGGACATAGTGTATTTGATTATTAATTGTCTTACCTGCTTGTGAGTAGAGGTTGGAAATTACTGATGGAATGCTGCTGAGGAAAAGGGGTAAATTAATTCTGTTTGCAATGCAAGACTGAAGCATCTGTTCCTGAATTGGGCAGCTCTGATGAAATAACTAATTTAACTCAGAGCATATCAAAGTTGAAACGTAATTTATTTGTATAACTTCCTAATTCTTAGCCTTATCCAGAATGTTACTGTGCTCTCACAGCCCCAACATCTGCAGCCAGAGGTTAGCTTCTACCCTGTTCTATATATAAGACAGAGGGGTCACTACTCCCTGTTCACAAGACCCCTGGTTAAGAATCCATAGCCTGAAGGAACACATGAAGGTTCTAAAATTCCTTCCATGCGAAGCAGTCCTCCTCATGTAGGAGTACTGTTATGAATAAGGCTGTCCACATCAATAGCAGTGGTAAAAATCAGGTCCATTGCATCCAAGAGTATGCTCGTTTATCCCAAAGACTCATGTCTAATTTTTCCCTTTCACTTTTTGCCAGTAACAAACAAGGCATTAAGTATCCCCATATGCAGAAAGGAAAGACATACCTTTAGTCTGCAGAACCTTTACTGAAAGCAGCAAAAAGGAACAGAAGTAGAAACTCTGTGTGAGTACATATGCATGCACAGTCCATCTGCACTGATTTGATTCTACATAGCCTGACATCTTATGTCCATACACTGAATGGTGCTTTACCGTGTAATCGCACCTTGGGAGCAAAGCGGGTAATAACTACACAAGCAGAAAACACTCTCCATTCTAGAATCTCTCCCTAATCTCACAACTAATCACTAAAAAAAGTAAAATTCTCAATGAAAGACAGGAAGGAGGGAGGCTTCTGTTCAAGATAGCAATATGGAAGCAGGAAAAACTGAGGCTGCATTTCTTTTTTCTAATTTAATTTACTTTTGCACGTGGTATATTTCTATAAAGTGCATTTATTTGATCCTGAAAATATTTTTGAATTTAGAGAATAATATTAGCATAAGAAAACATTTGAGAATAAACCAAGCAATAATGTTTAATTATTCAAAAATTTCATTGTAGCATTTCAAGATGGCACAGCTTATTCATATTAGATTCACAAAGGGATTTGTTAGGGGTGTATTCAGCTCAAATTCAACTAACTTAGGGTGCCTACCAGCTGAATCCAGGTTTCCTGTACGTAAGTCAGTAGATGAACTGGTCACTAGATGCATTCCTAACAGACCTGTCAGAACCCTGTGCTTCTGCAGTTATTCCAATTCCCAATTTAATTGTTATACAAAATCATCAAAATAAGACATCGACCCCTGCATGCTATGTAACCATGACACAGCTAGAATGCTGGGGACTTGAGTAAAATTTCCTCGTTTGTACTCTTCAGGAACTGGATGTAACCAAAGCCTTGAACTCCTCAAGAAACTCTAGCCACTAAGCCACGGGTGCACTGGGGGTGGTGCTTGCAGGGAATATAGCATCTCCTCTCTTGAGGAAGCAATTCCCCTTTGCATGATCTCTTAAAAATATTTCCAGGGGTATAGGAATTTTCCTGACAAGTAGGAGTCCTCTGTTTAAATTCCAAACCAAATCAGCCAAAGAGAGTAGGGGGACCAAAGCATCTTCAGAGCACCAGAGTCAATAACTGATCTCAGGAAAGGTGTACAAGTGTCCTTCCGAGGGCCTATGCTCACAGTAACATTGCCTAAAAAAATGGGAAAGTTTGTTTCAAACTCAGTAAACCAGTTGTGTTTTCTTCTCTGATCCCCTTGAACAACAGAGAAATACAAATGGGTTTGGGTTGACCCAAAACTTCTTCTCCGTGTTAATTTTTATTTGGTGTGAGCACCAGAGACTACAATAACAATAAATCAATTGTTCACACAGCTGTAGAAAAATCTACAATGAAAGAGTGGCAAAAACTCACAAAACCAGGCAAGAATGAAGAACATGCCACATTCAGTTTGTAATAAAAAATACAGTTGAAGTTTCCTGAATATCCTCCCCTATCTAGCCACAGAGAAAGAACCAAACAAAGAAATCAATCTACTTTTATGCTCCCATTTGTCCCACACTTTCCAGGAACAGTTTAAAGCTCCTGCAGGTCACACACCACTTTCAGATTACACAGTTCAATGCTACTTAAAGCACAAACTGCCTTGCCTGCAGAAAAAAAAAAAAAAAAAGCATTCTTGTTTATCAGAGAACATAGCATAATAGCAAAAAAACATTGACCTGTGTGCTCAAATACCCAATTCTTGGAGAAATTTTTGCTGTTTTGGAAATAGCATGATTCACCTATTTCGAAGGACCTGCAGTGTTTTCTGCAGAAAGGTACTGTTGCTCAGAGAGCTCCAACCACACAGGTGAGGCACTTGTCTGTGAGCTCCGAAGAGTCCCACGTTCCTCTCCCATAGTAATGTTGACCCATGAGGTTTAGGACCAGGCAGTCCTCATGAGACTTTTCTCTTGCTCCACTGCAACTTCAGTCAACACCCTAATCACATCCGTTTCTCCCAGCTTCTGCTAAAGTGAAGCAAGAGGCACCTGTGACGCTCATTTTCCATCTTTCTTCAAACACTGCTCTTTTTTTCTCATATTTCTTCTCTTTTCTCCACATGAAAATCTCCCTTCCCTTTCCTAAGTGACTTTCCCTGTCACTCTTTCCAGCAGTTCTCCCCAGTCTTTCCTTTCAGCATCCTCAGGTTTAACTCCACCTATTCCTCCCCACGGTCCAAAAAAACCCTCACAAACAAAACACAAACAACGCCTTAGTCATTTGCAAGCATTTCCTTTTGTGCAAACAGGAAAAGATGGTAGAAAAGGGGCCCTGGCAAGAAGCTGAGGTCTCTGTTATCAGGAAGCCATAGCTATACCTGCTTCCCTGTTATTCCATCTAATTGAGAACCAACATACACTGCAATATCTAGTCAAAACAATCTCAGATACTCCATTCTTCCTTTCACTGCTCCCCTGAAACACCCAGAATTTAATGTTGTTTCTTCTCTCCCCACATTAATACCGTTAGTTCTCTGCACTCGTTAAAGAAAAAAGATTTATTTTTTTTTTTTTTTTTTAAGTGAATGTGTTCTGGGGGCTGACTGTTGCATTCAGTGTTGCCCTCACATGTGTATGCATGTGCGCATCTGACAGTGTAGGTCATTTTCTCTGCTTGTCAGAAAAGAGGGTTTGGCTGGTTCTCCCTTCCCTAGCAATTAGTTTTACTGTCAGCCTTGAGATCAATCCTTTTCCTGTAGCTGGCAATGCTGCTTGTACCAATGCAGCCTGTCCTCCGGGTTCTACATCAGTTCAGCACCTTGGCCTGCTGTGATCAGCACTGCCTTCACCATCCCATCCTGTGCTGGGGTGACCACTTCCCTCTGCATTCAAACCAAGACAGCTGGTGCAATGGGAGAGAGGAAGGGGGGCAAAACTCCAACCCCAAACCAAGAAACAAACAAACAAAATCCCCCACAAAACCAGGCATTCAGTGAGGTTTGAATCTTTACCTCCATGCTCACACAATCCTCACCACATAAGCTGACTGGCTGGGAAGGAGATCAGAAAAGAGGTGCAGTGGTATCTCTCTATGATTCACGTGAGGAGAGGGGTCAGGCAGCGCGTCGGGATTTTCCCATCAGTGAAGCTGATTCAGGGCCATTTCGGTCATTAGTTAGGTTGCCTTCAGGTAGGGTGATACAACTCAAGAAACACACAGCAGGTGGCAATACCACTTCTCAACCTCATTGTCATCACCCCTGTGATTCTAAATGATTTTCTATACATTTGCTCAGTCCTAAAGCAACTGGTGCCGCAGGACACCCCAAGAACTGTTCTTTATGCAGTGACTGTGAAAACTGGCCTCTATGTGTCTCTGCAACAGGGACATGTAGTATGGGATGTCTCATGGTCTTTCATGCAGTGTCAACCACAGTCTGCACCTCCTTATTTAGCTGATAATTCTGACACTTTTATTGTTGCTCAGCTTAACACATTTTATTTTTTTAGTATAATTAAGAACTGTATTTTGATCAGATCCCTGCTTAACTATGCCCATTTTGTTGTTGTTTCTGAAATCTAAATAAAATTTGGCAAATTATTACTTTTCTCACTTACTTTATGCAAATATAGTATTTGTTCCTTGTGTTGTTAGCTTTAATTGGTATTCAGTGAGCAGTGACATTTAATATCATCATATATAGTAGCCAGACTACGATTCAAAGAGATCACCAAAACAGGATCAGGCCAGTTTCAAAACTATATTAATTAATAAAACCCCCCACATTTATCTCATATCTTGCATAGTTCATTACTTCTGAGACATTTCCACTAACTTCTCTAATAAAAATATTTCCTATTGCTTTTGATTCCACTTTACCCTGCAGAGCCAATACAGTTCAGAGAGAGGGAGCTACATCCCTCATCATTGGACTTAATTCACAATTTCCCCAAGTGATACCACGAAGAAGCCACCAAAAATTGCAGAAATCTGCCTCTACCACCCACCAGTCCAGTCTAGCTTGTCAAAGCAAATTTTGCAGGCAGCTATGGAAGTCTGCCAGGAGACTTCAGAAATTCTTTTTCCTAGTATGCTTTTTTCTTTTTATCTGTTGTGGGGGAAAAAAAAAACAACAACCCAAACATTTTAAGGCTATCACAGCTTTAAATGACCATTTATAAGCATGGTTCACTTATAAACATTAGTGACTCGGGGTGCAATCGCAATGTAGAATAATTTTCATTATGGTTAAGTTATTCTTGAACAATATTGATAATGAGACAAACCAAAACTATAGCTTGCTTAAATCATCTCACCATAAGTTTTCTAAGTCTCAGAAACACATGATAAGTGGTCCATGCAAACACCTCGGTAACTGAAATATGGCTGCAACTTTGGATGTCTATTTTTTGCAGACATCTCTTAGATCATAGAATGCAATTTGCTAGAAGAGCCCTCTGTAGTGCCCTAAAAGAGCCCAAAAGAGCCCTCTAATGGACATTCTAGACTCCGCTCTCCATTTTTGCAGTGTGAGTCTGAATTAATGCTGGTGAGATCGGTGATAGGGTTCCTGACATGGTGGTAGAGGAAATTTGGATTTCTGCCTACAAAGCTTCTATTTCTCTGTGTGCATAAGCAGTTTTGTTGTTAATAATGACCTTCCAAATAATATAGAGAAAAATATTTTGGGCATATCTGACTCTTGCCAAATATTCCCTGACAAAGACAATAAGGACAGTGAAGCAAGATACTCTTAGGAGGATATCAGAAAGTGCACTGATAGGAAATATTTCCCATAGTGTTAGAATACAATTAATAGCATTTCAGACTTAGTATCCTCCCTATCATGACTAGAAGTTTTGGAGACAACCCAAGTAAAAGCAATATCTAGCTGGAGAAATCAGATCCATCTAAAAAAATGTTAGTTTAAGCCTTGAACAGTGAGATTTAAATATTGATGGGAGGAGACTATATCTTTGCTCCCAAATACTGCAGTCAAGACATAGTACGATTTACATTATTTGCTTTCATCTAGTTTAAGAGTAAGATGCTTACTAACTGGAACTGGTTATCTGACACAGGACTAGAAAGCATTATCGGCAAAAAGCAAGCCCCTGTCATGCCTCAAATATTTTGACTTCTTGACATGGTCACATTCATTTCCAGAGATGCTTAAACAAACCAGAGGTTTATTTTTATTAAAAACTCAACTCTGCCATCTTTCCTCAAGCTGACGGTCCCTGATGACAAAACATCTTAGAATTGGGACCTATATTTCTGTTTCAGCATCCATTGTGCCTATATTTGTCAAAGCACATTTTACCTTGATTTCCTCCAGCTCCCGCAGCCCCTCCCTGCCATTCCCAAGGGCACACACTCTTCTGTGAGTGGTCTCTCTTATCACACTCTGTCAACCTAGTCACATAACTGGATCATTTGCTGATGATTTGATATATTCAAATGTACCATTGATTTCTTACAGTGTTAAAGGGCTGCCAGTTGTCTCTGTTGCTGATCATTAAATAAAATGCTTAAGTACATCACTTAACATTTACCTTAGAATCACAGACATCTGCATGTAAATGTCTTTTTCTTTCTCCTCAAAACAGGAAGTAGATATTTATACAGTGAAGACTGAAGAATTGGCATTTACTTCTGCATTCTGCCTCCAAATTCAGCGTAATGATTACATTCATGCCTTGGTCACCTATTTTAATATCGAATTTACAAAGTGCCACAAGAAGATGGGATTTTCTACAGGTAATCTGTATTTCTTTTCATTCCTATTGCTGTATCAGTGATACTGGTCAAATGATACAGGAAGGCTTAGTGTAACACCGGGTTTGAATTTCAGTGAAAAAAACACTGTCACTTTGGGGAAAGTGAGCAGGATGGGGAAAGGACAACTGCCTGTAGGAATTCTGCCAAAACATCAGGGCAAGATTGCACAATGGCTATCAAGCTTAGATTTCAGCTCAAATTAAGACCCAGGACTTTATGCCCATCACTAGTTATATCTAAATCCTGTGACAAGTTTCTCTGACTAGACAGGGATTTGTTGGCTCAGTGAGAGGCAGCAACTTTGCATCCTTGTTTCCCGCAAATCCAAAACTCAACAAAAGCTCGTGCTTGTCTCAGAGTCTAGAAAAAAAACATACTTTTCCAAGATCTAACAACACACATACTGATTATGTAAAACAACTCTAACAATTCAAATGTGAAACTCTAACTTACCTTATTGAGCAGATATTTAAAGGAGTAACTCTATTCCTATATGGCATTGTTTACCAGAGTGAATACAGCCAGTGTTATGAGAAAAAAAAAACAACCTTATGACTGCTTTAATGACAAGAACAACAAATTACAGATGATGCTGGTTGCATTTAGCATCATTACACAACTCAAACAGGTGTAAATGGGACCTGATGTAAGTTGATTGTAGAGTCACAGAATGGTTTGGGTTGGAAGGGACCTTAAAGATCATCTAGTCCCACCCCCCTGCCACGGGCAGGGACACCTTCCACTAGCCCAGGTTGCCCAAAGCCCCGTCCAACCTGGCCTTGAACCCTGCCAGGGAGGGGACAGCCACAGCTGCTCTGGGCAACCTGTGCCAGGGCCTCACCACCCTCACAGGGAAGAATTTCATCCTTATATCTAATCTAAATCTACCCTCTGTCAGTTTAAAAACTGTTACCCTTCATCCTATCCTTGCACTCCTTGATCAAGAGTCCCTCTCCATCTTTCCTGTAGCCCCTTTTAAGTACTGGAAGGCCGCTATAAGGTCTCCCCAGAGCCTTCTCTTCTCCAGGCTGAACACCCCCAACTCTCTCAGTCTGTCCTCCCAGGGGATGATCTCCAGCCCCCTGATCATCTTCATGGCTCCCTCTGGACCCGCTCGAGCAGGTCTGTGTCCTTCTGATGTTGAGGGCCTCAGAGCTGGACACAGCACTGCAGGGGGGGGTCTCATGAGAGCAGAGTAGAGGGGGAGAATCCCCTCCCTCAACCTGCTGGCCACACTCGATGCAGCCTAGGACACAGTTGGCTTTCTGGACTGCAAGTGTACATTGCTGGCTCATAGTCAGTTTTCCATCCACTACTGCTCCCAAGTCCTTCTCCTGCTCTTAATTCATGCATTGCCCAGCCTGTATTTGTGTTTGGGATTGCCCAGACCCATGGGCAGGACCTTGCACTTGGCCTTGTTGAACTCCATGAGGTTTGCACGGTCCCACCTCTCCAGCCTGTCCAGGTCCCTCTGGATGGCACATCCCTTCCCTACAGCGTGTCACTGCACCACACAGCTTGGTGTCATTGGCACATTTGCTGAGGGTGCACTTGATCCCACTGTCCATGTCTCCAACAAAGATGTCAAACATCACTGGTCCCAACACTGACCCCTGAGGAGCCACCTGAATGGTGCCCTGTTGCTGGGTTAGGTGAATTTAAAGCCTCTCCGCTCAGCCAGTGGAATGCCGCTCCTTCGAAGAGCTGCCCTCCCTGTGCGTCCTTCCGTGCAAACTGCTGTGCCAGGCCCTGTTTGCCCGCTCTGGTGGCTGGTGCTCCTTGTGGGAGTGGGGGGTGGCTGCCGTTACTCCTGGCCCAGCTCACAACTCATCAGTCGCTCACTTGTGGCTACTAGATTCTAAATATGATTAGAAATCACTTTTTTTCCTCCCTTCACAGAAGCTCTCAGCCCCTTACATGATATTTAAAGCTCAAAGTACTTTGTTAAAATACTTAACTTATATTTGATTCTAGAAGTATAACTGTATGAATGATGTTATTTGGTGCCTCATATTCTTACGTTTTTCAATAACTGTGTTTCCCTGGTCATTTTATAAATGTGTTATACTATGGTATTTCCCACACCGTGATAGGCATCGGTATGTGCTAGGGAACAAAGCGTAGATACGAACAATCTGTGAGGCACTGCGGTAGTATCCTGAAGTTTGTGCTGGACACAGGTTTCTGGGTTTCTGCTGAACAAAATTATCTAAGGTGGAAAACAGTTCATGTTTTCGGCATTTGATTTTTCCACAGAAGGCTGGGTTTTTTTCAGCAGAAGGCAGCCCATTAATATTTTTTAAAACGTAATATAGTCAAACCTCCAATTTTGTAAAAAATAGGTATGAAGGGTGTAGTTACTGTCTCGTGATGTTAACTGAAACCTACCTTAGTAAAGGAGGTCTTATATTGCCAGAACTACATGAAAGGTCTTTTATGTCATTGAGAATGGGGCTTCATCTGCAAAGGAATAATGGAATGTGTTTCTGTTTTACATGTGAATATGAATATGCGTGTTTTAAGAAACATCCATTGAAAGATTAGGCTATTTAATTAATGTTTTCTAGCCAAATGTGTCCCATCAACATATCTGGCCCTCAAACACAGCCATTCTTTGCTTGACTCTTAAACATCCCAGTGAATAGGCATCAAAAGTAGCAAGGAAAAGGACCTGTGATGTTATTGCAAGGCATTGCTTGTCTGCAGAGTAGGCATAGACTTGCTCCACTATCAGTATAGCAAGAGGTGGCTGGGATGAGGACTTTTCTGACTCTTCTTGCCTCTTGGGTGTATGGAATGAAAAGGGGTCATTCAGGTGCTTGGACAGAAAATGTTCTGCAAGACCACCACAGGTGGGCTTAGCTTCCCCTAGCACACAGGAACTGAGAACTTGAGGAAGGAGGAAGGTTAAATACTACTAGGGAGAAGAGGCTACATTTGAACAAAAGCCTAGGGCAGATGCCAAGTTTGGCATGGTGTTTTTCTTACAGAGAGGTTTTTGCAGACCCACCTCAACTTGCAAATATATGTACAAGGTATTTTGTGCCTATCTGTCATAAAAAAGAGGGGAAAGGAGTCACAATCTCCAATATTTATGAACCTCTACCAAGAATGGGGTTCATTAGCAGCGCCTGAAAACCTAGCTTCCTTAAACTATCTGTAGCTTCCACAGGCCGCTTCTGAATGCTTAGTCGTACACTCCCATTCTACAATCCTTACAGCTCTGAAGACTTGCCCTTTCTCATCATCCTTTCTGCAACTAGATCTCTTAGCTGCTGGTGGCTCAGCCTCCTTGGAGGCTTGCTTGAAGAGGCTTCCTATGTCTCCAAATTCTGTCTCCTGCCACTTGGCAAATGTGGCATTTCTTCCATTTAATGCTTTTCTTTGATTTACTGCCAATTCTCTGAACATCTTACTTCAGTGACTCACTTGTCCAGCAGGCTGTATGACCCACCAAATAAAAAATGTTGGATGCCATTGTATGCAGATGGAGAAGACCTGCTAGCCAGATATCTGTGCAAAGTCAAATTCTTAAGATTTTCAAGTCCATGCTCAAGTTGTTTTTGTGTTTTTGACAAGGGCTTCTTCTAAAACCAAAGTTCACTCTGGCCTTCTTTGATGCAAATGAGGCTACAGCCATATCACCAATTATAGCAGATGTAGAGACCACTCTGAAGCCTGGGGTAACCAATTGGTTGTGATTCCTTTGCACAATACTTGGTCCAGGGTTTCATCTGGATCCCATGTGGTGCCCCTCTGATTGCACTAAGACACGTACTGTTTACGTGGAGGGGTTAACTGTTATTCATAGTATCTAAAATAATAGCAGAGGTGCCTTCCAGTCATTGGAGAAGAAGGTTTTTTAAACCGTGAAACTGATAGTACATGAGTTGTGCCTCAGGGCATGCTATCAGGACTACAGAACCTTAAAGAAGTCTATGGGACCAGACAGGAGGCATCCAAGCATGCTGAGGTGCTGGTCAATGTCTTTGTAAGGCTACCCTCTAACATCTTTAAAAGGTCATGGTGATGGGGGAAGTTTCCTGATGATTAGGAAGAGTCAGCTATCACAGTCATCTTCCAGAAGTGCAGTAAGCAGGATCCATGGAACTACAGGCCAGTCAATCTCACCTTAGTTCCTGGGAAGGTTATGACGCAAATGCACCTGGAAACTATTTCCAGCTATGTGAAGGACAAGAAGGTGACTGAGCACAGTTAGCATGGATTTACCAAAGCCAGTTATACCTGACAAACCTGATTGCTTTCTAGATGACTAGCTGTATAGATGAGGAGAGGTCAGTGGCTGTTGTACACCTTCACGTTAGCAAGGTCTTTTCACAGAATCATCTAGGTTGGAAAAGACCTTGAAGGCCATCCAGTCCAACCATTAACCTAACATTGACAGTTCCCAACTACACCAGATCCCTCAGTGCTGGGTCAACCCGACTCTTAAACCCCTCCAGGGATGGGGACTCCACCACCTTCCTGGGCAGCCCATTCCAACACCCAACAGCCTGTTCTGTAAAGAAATGCTTCCTAATACCTAGTCTGAACCTTCCCTGGTACAACTTGAGGCCATTCCCTCTTGTCCTATCGCTTGTTACTTCATTAAAGAGGGTCATCCCCAGCTCTCTGCACCCTCCTTTCAGGGAGCTGTAGAGGGCGATGAGGTCTCCCCTCAGCCTCCTCTTCTCCAGACTAAACCCCCCCAGTTCCCTCAGCCACTCCCCAGCAGACCTGTGCTCCAGACCCTGCACCAGCTCCGTTGCCCTTCTCTGGACACGCTCGAGTCATTCAATGTCCTTTTTGTAGTGAGGGGCCCAAAACTGAACACAGGAATCGAGGTGCGGCCTCACCAGTGGTAAGGCTTTATACAGATTTGCATAGCATCCTTACAGCTATATTGGTAAGATACAGACTGGATAAGTGAACAATGACACAGGTGAAAAATTGGCTCAAAATGTGTCAGTCAGCAAAGTCAAACCAGAGGCCAGCTATTAGTAGCATCCCACAGGTGACATACAGTGACATACAGTATTATTCCACATCTTTACTAACAACCTGAATAATGGGATAAAGTGCATTCTCAGCAAATTTGTGGATGATCCCAAGTTGGGAGGAGAATAGGCTGGAGAGAAAGGGCTGCTATTTATAGAGATCTACACAGGTTCGAAATGGGCTGATGAGAACCTTATAAAGTTCAGCAAAGCCAGCTGCAAAGTCCTGCAGCTGGGACCAAACAACTCCAAGCTATTGCTTAGGCCAACTGGATAGAAATCAGCTTTGTTGGAAAAGACTCTTGGACTCTGGTGAGCAACAACTGAACGTGAGTCAGAAGTATGCTTCTGCAGCAAATCTGGCCAATCATCCTGACCTGTATGAGCATGAGCGTAGACAGGAGGTTGAGGGAAGTGGTTCTCTGCCTCTGTTCAGCACATCATGATAAGGTAGGTGCAGAAGAAGTAACTCTATAATTAAAAGGTTGTTTGGCCTTCAGTAACTGAAGGTGTAGACACCACTGTCTTAAGACTGATCTGGATTCCAGCTAGGGTTTGTTGGCAGAGCTCTACTGAATTCAGTAAAATATCCAGGTTTGTAGGACATGAGGAAGTGCCACTTCACTGATACGTCATTTTTTAATTATGAAGATCTTATGGACTCGAAGACCTGCGCCTACATTCCACACCCCCCCCCCCCCCCCCCCCGTCCATGGAGCACCAGTTTCCAGATATGCCAGGCTTTTCTAAGGAAGATAGCTCTGCATAAGGGCATGTGCACATGTACATCTGTGTGTACAAGATAGCAGCTATGATTTAAAATAAAAGTTCATCTTACTTTTGGTCTAGCATGTTTTCAATTAGAAATTTTACAGAGCATGTCCAAATGGAAAACGGATTCTGGACCTGAACTCCTGAAAGAAATTAGGCATTGAGATTAACAGTCATCAAAACTGTCTAGACATATAGCCAGAAATTAGCTGGTAAAATATTTTTCCTTTGGAAGATACCAGTTTGCCAACACTGTTTCTGACATAAGTTTTTTTTTCTGTTGGTCTTCTGATTCTAGGATTTTGGGAAAAAAAAAAAAAAAAAAGCACTGTTAAAAATTCCTGTCCTGGCGGTTTTTAAAAAAAGCTTCATTATTCCCCCAGTCACAAACAACTTCTAAAGCCAAATATTTTTTTAAAACTTTGATGTTGAAATGAAATGAGATCATTGTTTTATTGAACTGTGCTAAGGTATTATTAGCATAATTCAATACATTGGGCCCATGTCTGCATCAAAAAGTGACTGAAGAAACAAATGGAATAAAAATACATTTATCGGAGGCTTTTTTGTCAGGACAGGAAGTCTCTGAACTTGTACAGCTATTCTTAGGTTCCTAGAGGCTCTTAACTGCAAGAATGCTAGGAACAAGAAGTAACCAACGCAAGTTCATTAGGCACTGCTCAAAGATTTGAATTTAACTCAGAAATAAAACCAAAGTAAAATAAAACCCTGAAATAGCAGAAAGTTATCAAAGTGATTTTGCTGAGCAAGACTAGAAGTAAACTTAGACCAATATTCATCTCTGGCAAATTGCCCACAGCAAATGCCTTTTAGAGAGTCCAAAACCAGGTTAAAGTGCAAGTGCCCTTTCCCCAGCTGTATCCTCCTGGAAAATATAAACTCTCCTGTTCTGGGATCTTAAGTCAAAGGTTTCATCTGTGTCATTGTGATTAATAGGGGTTTTCTATGAATCCTTCTTTCATGGTTTTGTGTAATTGGTTTTTGCACTAATTTAGACTTCTGACTTTCAAAGCACTTAGTGTTGATTTGCCCAGTTTGAATGTGTGTGGGTTGAAAGGGAAACATCAAAAAAGTGCCTATCATGCCCAGTAACCCACTTTGCAGAGTCCTTGCTGGGTGTGGTTTACATCTGACATATTCCAGTAAAAATCAGAAGACAAGCCACTGACAGTCAAGAAAATTGTGTTGTTGTAAAGCATATTTGCTAATATAGTATATAAAGTAAAGAATTCTATGAGAAGAAAGGCTTTTTTCAGTTGTTCCCAAGTCTTAATTTGATGTGCAATGCAAAGATGAAATGTCTATAATTAATACCCATATATATTTTTTAGCACCTGATGCTCCCTATACTCACTGGAAGCAAACTGTCTTCTACTTAGAGGACTATTTAACTGTGAGACGAGGAGAAGAAATCTATGGGACTATATCCATGAAACCAAATGCAAAAAATGTGGTGAGTCAGCATCACTGATTCCAATTCCAACTCTATTGATCACAAACTATAAATAATCAGTAAATAAAGTGCCCGTAAGTAAAACAATGAGCATGCTAAAGATTGTAAATTCATGTTTATTAGTAAGAGCTCTAGTCACAGCTTCACCAAAGCTGCTAACAGCAATGATAATGCAGTGCTAATGTCACAGAACTCAGCCTGCAAACAAGCTAGCATGGGAAGAAATGATTCAAGTACATCACCAAGTCAGTTGCCCTCTGCAATCAGCTTGGCTGACATTTTGTGACACAAGTAAACAAGAGTCTCTTCATGCTATCACTAAAATCAGCAGTAAGTTCTCTTCTGCCAATACGGGATGATCAAGAATACTTCAGTTCCCTATCTATCGCCAGATTTCCCACGCAGTGCTTAAGAACTCTCCTTTAGGAAATTAAGTAACAGATTTCAGCTGAATGTCTGTATGAACTCGGTGACCAAATGCACAACTGGAGCTCACTAATCAAGTGATATGGTTGTTTTAAAACTGTGGTTTTCCACAGAAAATACAGATGTTTTATTTAAGACTAAAGCTAAAGCATGATGGATACTGGGTATCACACTATGACAAGTGGTGAAAGCTTTCTCAGTTTCTCTGCTATGGGCTGAATCCCTCACCAAGTATGTAAATTATTCAGTGCTTCTTTTAACTTGTAAGGAGACTGTGAGATGTGCTCTGATGGACAACCCATGCCTGTATATAAGAGCAAGACATGAGAAGTATGGCTTCTAGGAGAAACGGTGACACCATTTTCTGCCAAAAACCCTGAGCAGAATCTCTTCATTTTCTATTACAACATACAGCCATTAAAATAACCTGATTATAATCCATCCATGCAGTTGTTATAATTGTTGAAATACTGCATTTGTTGACTGCGGCAAATCTTAACATTTCATTGCCTTCCTTTTTTGCATTTCTTTTCCTTTTTTGTAGCAAATACAGATTGGATATGGTTTTCATAGTAGTGTTGATACAGGGGAAGAAATAAACACAAAATAAACTTGGCATTAAAACAAACACATTCACTCCTGAAGCTACCACATACTGTGAAAGTAGAGGAAAACAGTCTGTTTCCCACCTTTATGTTGTTCTTGGGGAACTGGAACATTTTCTTTTGGGTTGAATTTATCAGTTTTCTTCTGAGGGAAAAATGAAGAAAATATATCAAATTTGTTCGCACAGCAGTAAGCACCGAAATGCAGATTTAGGTACTAAAATTAATGGGTTCTCAATAGTTATCATAAGACAGAGGGACTACCTCGGTTCAGAAGGATTTGTTAGTGCTTTATTCTTCTGAAACACGAAGCCTTTCAAAAGCTTTTAGAGAGACAGCTTTGTTTTGTAGGGCTGTGTAGTGCCTCTTGCCAAAAAAAATGTCGTAAGAAAAAAGAATGACTGAAGGTTTCTCTACAACAAGAAGTTTACTAGATCTGTTCCGGAGTAACTCCTAGTGTGAAAGCCCTTTACACTCCATCAAGAGCATCTGAACGGGGGATACCCTTAAAAATTTGTTATGGCATATGTATGATAGCAGAGTTTTTCAGAAACTTCCTAGTTGTAACCAGGACACTAAATCAGCATTAAGAATATACAGATATGCCCTAGACATAGATTCTATGGTGAATGCACTTACACATCCTATATCCTGCTTTTTCATAGTTAGCAACATTTAAAACCAAAAGAAGTTATAAACCACAGGAGGTATCTCTTGAATCTGCAAGTCTTTTTAACCCAGGCAATGATAACTGAATTCATACACCGAACTTACGGTCTTATTTACATGTTACATTTAAATTTTTTTACAGCGTGACCTGGATTTCACAGTAGACTTGGATTTTAAAGGACAGCTATGTGAAATGTCAGTATCTAATGACTACAAAATGCGCTAGCAAGAAACCTGTCAGATGAAATGGAGAATTTTATCAAGTCTTGAACTGCTGAACTTCAAGCTAGGAACTACTGTTCACAAGATTATTGTATTAAATACTAGAATGTTTACTCTGATGGAAAGTGGTAACCTGATCCTTCTTGCAGATAGTATAGGGGGCTGGTATCCCACTGTGAATGTACAGTATACAGAACTGTAGCTTTTGTCAAACATATAGGAAAAATAAGCAAGAGTCTTGAATGTTCTGGTTAACTTTAGGATGGCAGAAGATGCATATACAAATTGTACTACTTACTGTGAATTTCTGGTTCTTCCAAGCTTTGCATGTTAAAGAAGATTAGGGCAGTTTTCTCACTATGAAAGACCACTACTGCACATTACTGTGATAGTATTACTGGACTTATATTCAATATAAATGAATATATATATTGTACATGAGAAAAAAAATGTCATTTCACAATAGGAATTTGTTTTGTGATTATTTAATTCTCATTATGCAATTATGGAAAGATAATGATGTTACCTCTGGCACTACTCTAGGCAGTGATATATTCCATTAACTGTCCAAAGTTACAGCTTTGGTAAATATTCCATGCAAAGTGTAGATAAGAGCTGGGTATTTACAGAAAGTTCAACAACTATCTTTTTGAATGTCCTCTGGAAAATGTGGACCATTAGTTTTAAAATTCACCTTCACAACTGGATGTCTGTCAGAGCTTTAAAAAACATTAGCTTTTTATCCTTGAAAATATTCTGTGGTGAGTTTTTATAGCTGGATTTTGCATGAGACCTTCTGAAATCAGACACCTAGTATTTAAATGTAATGAATGCAAAGTCTCTGAAATGGTGGGTAATTCATGTTTCTTGGCCATGCCATATTTCAGTTCTTTGCAAGATTCTTAATACAAAATCATTTTTTAAAAAATAAGAATTAAGTGTTTCCTTTTGGTGATGTTTTAGATAAGCTATAAATTGCAAATACTATTCTCAAGAGTGCAGTGATTTGCAGGAACAAGCTAATGTCTTTAAAAAGATGTCTGTGGCTTCTGATATTACTAAGATGTCTGTAGCTTCCCCATCCCCTTACACCCATTGTTTTTCTTACAATATCTCCTGCTTATAGTTAAAATATTAACTGCTTATAATTCTTCATACGTATGTATCAAGTCTTTTTACTATATGAATACTGACCATTTAACCACATGTAATTCGTCAAAAACTGCATCATCGGTCCTATCTACCCATATTCCAGTCTGTCTGGCATTAGGCACTAAATCATGTTCCATCATGGATGAGATTGACTAGGTTTTTTGCCTAAAAAACTTTTTAATCACCTGCAAATAAAGCATACTTGAAGATGTATTTTGCCAGTATTTGTCAACTTTTCACTTTTTAGAAACCTATTTCTATTGGTTTTCCCTTCACAAAAAACTGTACAGTGCCTCCATTTTCTTATGGTCTAAAGATTATGGTCTAGGGATTGTATCACATGGTATCTATGTAGAATGAAATTAAACTGTAATTCAGCAGTAAAGCATACTGGTTGCAGTGTAGTTCATCACCGTTGTTTTAAAGCACTTTTCTTACATTTTCTTGGAATGAGGATGAACAACTTTCCTCACAAAATGAGTAGGATTTTATCTTTCAAATATTGCTGTAATTTTCAGGGAACAGTTCATAGCTAGATCAGCTATTCTTTCAGTAATGACTGACCAGAAAACCTCTAGAAGTCACTTTCTACTAACACTTCTGCCATTCTAGAACTTTAAGGTAAGGAATTCTACCAGGTTTTTTCTCAGCCCTCTCCATTTATACAGATACCCAAACAATGTTTTCATCTCTTATTTACTAGTAACAACCGAGCTGAATGTAACTGAAAGAGGAAAGACTCTTGCTTTGTTGTCTAACTTACACTTCGACAGCACTTCAAACCATCCACTTCTCTTGCCCACTGCATGAATCTCTAATATCTTTAATATTAAAAAAAAAAAGAAAAAAAAAAACATCTTGTTTAAAAAAGAAAATACAAATAAAAAAAATAATTAAAAAAAAGAGAATTCACAAGGGTCTGCCTGCCTGTACTGAGAATGTGTCCTTTTTGCCTGGCAGAAAGTATTGGATGCAGCAAAGAAAACTTGATGAGAACAGCTCATTAATCAGTCTGAGAGGTATTTTAAGCACTGTTGTGCTGCCATCTCTGCCTCATCTTTCACCTAAGAAGAGTGAAATGTAGGTGCCCCTTCAAAAGCACCCACCTTGCATTCTTACTACACGTGCCCCTTCAGTGTTGCAAGTCCTTGCTGCTGTTAATGGCACAGTTCCGGGGTGATGACCACACTCAGTCACATTCAGCCCTGGGACCCTGACTTGTGCTTTTCTTCATATCAAAAACACATCACATATTTCTCCATCATATCAAGAACTGAGAGTGCCTACTGCAGTGATGAGTATCTTCAAATCACAGTGATCAAAAAGAAAATTTGGGCTTCCAAGGCCATTAGAGGTGTTACTACTACTAAGGTTCTTAAAGCATCGATGAGTTCAGCACATAGAGATTCTGTTAGGTCAGCACTAGTGAAACAGATACGCGAAGAGCTCACAGGCCAGGTGCAATCAGCTGATAGGCTTTCCTCAGCAATCCAGCAAGTCTGGGTAACTACCACAGAGTCTGAGCCTAATCTTCTCAAGGCTTGAATAGAAAAGTCTATCATGAACTCCAGGGTTGAACCCAAGCCACTGATCTTCAAAGCTCTGCATTAAAATACTAATGACAAAATGGCCATTGATATCTGAAAGAGATACATGTTGAAAAACTTTTCATTTCCTTCCCACTGACAGGAAAAGAAGATGATGAGCTGAGGACAGAGCATGAGAAAGAAACTGAAATACAGTATTTACACAAAAGACTGTCCCTGATGAGTAACAAATACAGTCCTGGAGGGAAAAAAAAAAAAAAAAAAAAAAAAAAAAAAAAGGGTCATTTTTGCCTTGACTCTATTCTTAAGGCAAAAGTATTAAAGCTCTTCCCAAGGATTGTCCTGTCAGTTGAAACTCAAAGGAGCATCCAAAAAAGCTAGATACTGAGCATGCCTCTAAAAAGCATAGTGTGCAATTCACACTTGCAGCGCCTGCAGGATTAGGGAGGTGGTCCCTAATGTTAAGAGGGCCACTCAGTGTTCCCAAGGTTCTCTAGTGAACAGTAGAGTATGACTTTATTCTCACATGCATTTCTTATTCCCAGCAGCAACTAGCCCTTGCCTAATGTTACTGAAGTTTCGCAGATTTGGTTTGGGTTTTGCAGGGCTTGTTCTGGGGACCTTCCTGTGTGCAGAATTAGGAGTTTTAGAGCCTTTTACACTGTCTCAGACTTTTTATAGGGGTTGAAATGGTTCAGAATATAGACAATAATATTACCAGAGGCAGCATGCTTTCACTAGAGTTAGCTTGGAGAACCTTCTCAGAGATAATTTCTTACAGGACTTGTCTTAAATTTAATATTAATTTATAAGTTAATTTACCACATACAGATTTGATTGTAAATAATCAAGAAAAACCTCCTTCACTTAGAAGGTAATTTTACAGAGGATACATGGTATACAATGTCTATAACAAAGGATAAATCCCCACTTTAAGAAGATAACCTAACCGTCACTCTCCTTTACCTGTAAAATACATCTCACATATACCTACTTACATTAAAAATCCTTATATATGCTATCATTTCAACATCTTGTCAGTAACATTGTAAGTGGCCCAATTCATATGAATTGAACTCAGTGTAATAGAGGACAATCTGTCTGTGTTTTATAATCAGTAACTTCAAGTACTGTGCATACTGGTAGATGTAACATGCTCGCTGCAAAAAAGTGTAAATAACACTTAGGAGGAAAGCAAGATTTACTTAACAAAATCATGTCCCAGTATCCCTGGTATAACCAACAAAGCAACAGAGTATTATAATTACTTTCAAATTACAAAGCCCCATGAGTGTTATAGAAACGGGAAATTAGCTTTAGAGGCTGCTTTCATTGGGGAGCATGCTTTTCTTTTGCAGGCAGGAGCAGCAGGAGAGGGGTGGGGAGGGTGGTGGAGCAGGCAGACATCAGAGTGACCTACCTCTTACCAGTTTGTCAGCTCCCTTGTTCAGGTGGAGTCAGGGGCTCAGAACTCCTTTCTCAGCTGAGTAAGAGTAGATTACTTTAGCTGCAGGCAATGACTCCCACTATATAAGGGAGGATGGGTGAAGGGGAAAAAAGAAAGTACCTGAATTGCAAAGGGGACAGCAAAACAGAGTAGCTGGAGTTATTTTGCTGTAGACCCTTACAGAAGCTTTAAGTTATTTGTAATGGAAAAGACTTCTGGAAGTCTTTATTCTAACCACCTTCTCAGAGTGGGGCTAACTTCAGAGCTAACTCATGTTGCTCAGGCCCTTGTCCAGAGAGGGTCTGAACATTTCCAAGATCAGAGATTCCCCAGCCTCTCTGGGCAGCTGCTCCAGTGCTGTGCTAATCTCACAAGGAAGCATTTTATATTCAACTGGAATTCCTCTTGTTATAACTTCAAACTGTTGGCTCCTGTTCAACTTCTTTTTGAAGTTATAACTTCTATTTGCCCTTGAGACAAGTCTGGTTCTGTTTCCACTGTAACTCCCCATTAGATACCAGAATATATAACTATTATAGTTTCTCCAGTAGTCCCCTTGTGGTAGTCCCTCTCTTCCATATCCCACCCTTGATTGCATCCCAGCCCTTCATATGAATTACACCACCTATCCACCTGTAATCCTCGCACACACCTTTTTTTTTTTCCTTCTAACAGAGGCTATGCATATATTGCTGCTGTTACACACTGATTAATAGATGTATCTAAAGGGTTTGCAAAGAATATAACTCCAAGGGCCACTAATTAAAGAATGCCTCAGGGTCTCTTACCTTGTTGTGCTGGTGGCATGGAGGACACATTTTATGAGTAATCTTCAGGTTGGCATATGAGGTGTAAATTTATGCCAGTGTGTGCATTTGCCTAGTTTGAACATACAACAGAGCCAAGTGATTGCATTAAGCATTCACAGAATAGTTCCAACTGGAAAAGTGGGAGGGTTTTATTCTTTTTTGAAACATTTCTTTTCAATGTTTCTCAGAGATTGTCTCAGGTGTTAATCACCAAAGCACACAGGCAAGTAGGAGGAAGATAAATCATTTAGATCATATCTAAACTTCCTAAAAATTAAGTGTGAATTTATAGCACTTAAAATATTTTTTAAAAGCAATTAAAGAAACAAACCTGATGTTTATGATCTGATATAACAATGTTTTTTTTCTAATAGCCTTATTGTAAAATAAAAACACCCCACATTACTTTAAATTCATTTTTCATACATTGGTCTAGAGTAACAAGGATGTGAATCACCAGCTAGAGATTCCCCAGAATATCGGTATTTCTGCACAGTATGTTGACTGAGGTGAACCAGGGCAGTAGTATGCCTACAGGAAACAAGACTGTTCCCTTGAAAATAGCTGCTGCTTCTGCTAGACACAAAAAGAGTAAAGAAGACATGCTGTACACAGCCAGGACTGAGAAAGAGGCAGATGACTGCTAAAGCAGAGCACCTGTCCTTTAGACAAAAAAAAAAAAAAAAAATTCCAGGGTCCAGATACTGCCACCACTGACAGAGCATCTCAGAAAAAAAATAGCTCTTTTGCCTGCTTTCCTATGGGATGAGAGTAGGCAGGCAAGCAACCTAAGTGTTCTGCGTAGCTGTAACAGCAGCAAATGATGGACACAGTACTGACACAATATGCTGTTTCTTTTCCTTCATCTCAAGATGTTTCTAGCTTGTACTTCAGTGGTATACAGAAAACAGAATCCGCTTATAAATCAAAGCCAAACTTTTCTTCTAAGCTGCCCTCATCTCTTACTTGCCTGTGTGTCGTGTTCTTTTTACTACAGTCCACACTCACATAATTGCCTGGGGTAGTGAGGATAAATCTAGTCAGCCTGAAGTCCTATGGGGCTTTGAACATTACATAGAGTCAGAATTTCAGGAGCCAGAAAGGAGCACTGTGGTCCACCAATCTCTTGAAAACATCATTTCCAACCCCACTGCTGAAGCAAGACAAGCTGGTGCAGGTTGCCCAGGATCATTTACAGTTGGGTTTTGCATATCTCCAAGGATGGACAGTGTTTGACCACACCCACAGTAAAAAAAAAAAAAAAAAAAAAAAAAAAAAAAAAAAAAAAGTATTTCTTGAGTTTAGATGGAATTTTATGTGTTTCAGTTTGTGCCTGTAGCCTCTCATCCTGTCACTGGGAACTCCTGAGAAGAGTGTCTCCCTCCTCTTCATTCCCCACCTCCACCAGGTATTTACACACACTGGTAAGATTCCTCCTGAGCTTTCTCTTCTTTAGACCCTCCAGACCCAGGCATTCAGCCAGTTTTCAAAGCACTTTCCTTTCCAATTATCTAACCTGCACTTTGTCATCTTCTCCTTGAGGATGTTATGGGCAACAGTGTCAAAATCCTTACTAAAGTTG